ATGACAGGCCAAAGGGTAGTGCCTTGAACTGCAGGTGCCAGATGGACGTTCCCAGATTGACCAGCAGTTGGAGTAATTTTTGAGAAGGCTGCGCTATCGGAGTGTGCAGGTAAGCGTCCCGCAGGTCGATGGTCGCCATAAAGCACCCCGGGGATAGCAGCTTCCTCACTGAAAAATTGTATCCATCCGAAAGTGCTTGTACCGAATGGACTTGTTCAGTATTTTTAGATCCAAAATTAAAACGCAAATTCCCCAAGGGCTTTTGAACTAAAAAGATGTGCGAGTAGAACCCTCTTGTTCCCTTGGAACCTGAATGCTGACTTCCTGTTGCATCAGTTCCTTCAAAAGGGATGTCATTGCTGAGGCCATCTCCTGATCTCTTGGGAGATTGGTTATACAAAATCTGGTCAGAGGGGTCCGAGAGAACTCCAGGCCATACCCTTGGGCCACGATGTTTCTGACAAAGGCACTTGATGTTTCTTCCCATTGTGAGAAGGCGGCTCGAAGTCTCCCTCCCACTGGAAGAGAAATATCATTGGCTCTTGGCCAGTCACTCTGGGGGTCTGAAGAGCAACCCCCCCCTTTACCCCTATTTTTTTTTTTAATTCCAGTTTCTTTTCTGGGTCTGCTCCTTATTTCTTAGGGTTTGTGAAAAAGGATGAACATTTCTCCTGACTGGCTGTTTCTTTTTTGATGGGAAATCTTTCTTTTTATCCACCGTTCTATCCAACTCTGATTACAGATCTGGGCCGAAGAGCAGGTCCCCAAAAAAAGGGAATCCCGCATAACCTCATTTTAGATGCCGAGTCCCCTGACCAGGTCTTGAGCCATATGGCCCTCCTTGCAGAGCTGATCAACAGCGAGGACCTGGCCGTCATTCTAATAGTTTCTGCAGATGCATCAGCCATATACTTTACGGCTTTTAGGAAGACCGGGGAAAGACTGCAAAAGCTCTCTCCTGGAGGTCCCTACCTCAACATGATCCCTCAGCTGATCAAACCAGCACTCCAAATTTCTCACCACCACTGTGGAGGCCATTGCCGGCTTGAGGTTGGTGAGGGAAGAGTCCCATGCTTTAAGGAGAAAGTTTGCCATCTTATCCACTGCATCCTTCAGGATGCCCATATCCTCAAAAGCAGTCAGTGCGCCTTGAAACTTGCAAAAGGATCGCATCCAACATCGGTTTCTTGTTCCCTGAGGGAGAGGAGGACGCTCTCTCTCTCTTCTGATTTGCTGATTTCCACCTGGCCTGAGGTGGACGGCAGAGGACTGGACAAGGTGCTCTGCTGCAAGCCTGGCTGGAGCATCGGCAGCTTATCCAACAAAGATTGAACCGACTCCAGAGTCTCTGACAATTTTTTTTTGACAGAAGCAAACAAACATGTCCCTGCATTGCTGCAAAGATTCCACTTTCACTAAATCCGCCACACCGGCTCTACATAGCAGTTTTGGCCATGCATCTCTCAGGGGATTTCTACAAGATGGACACTTTCTTTTAATCGGAGTGACCTCCTTCACCTTGACAGTGGCCTTGGCCTGCAAGTATAGGAAGAGAACAGGAACAAAAGAAAAAAAAAAAAAACCTGCATGAGGCTTCTGTCCAGCAGGGGAAGGAGAGGTAGAGAAGACTCAGCTCACAATACCACCAAGTAATCCACCGAGCCATGCAGCAGAGCAGAGTTACCTCTGTGCCAAAGCAGCAGGCTTCCCTAACAGGGAAGGCATACCAAAACCATAACCATAAAGAGAAAACAAGAAGCCCCATCGTAAGGATAAAAGGCACCACTGTACCCCCCTTACCTGGGCTAAGCTGGTACACGATGCATCTGCTTCTGCCGCTGGACCCTCTGCCTCCTCCATGTTACAGAGTGTGCAGCTTTGCTGAGACCTGCGGTCTTTTTAAAGTTCCCGCCAGCCTCCAGAACGGAAGCACCCACTGACCTGCCTCTTCCCCCTGCCTTCCAGCGGCTGGAACCAAAGCCTCCACGACCCCGCCGGAGGTCCCACCCACCAGATCAGCGCCCCCTGCTGGCTGGACCTGCAAGACACCACAGGAAGCCGCTCATGGCTTCCCATGGCCCAGAGACCAGGAGACCCACTCCTCTTCGAGCCCTCAGACACGGCAGGGACTCACCGGCTGGCCATCACTCCACTGAGCAGGAAGGGGAACAGAAGGCACTGGAACCCCCCCCTCAACCGCCAGAGGAAGGAGCTGGGGTGGTCCACCTACATGCCTCCTGCAAGGTAAGGACTGCTCCTGGCCCCTCCCACTGGAGAGAATGCAGTCCTCCCGTAACCCAGGTTCTTGCAGCGCTTCTAGCATGGCAGAGGAAACATCATAACTGAAGGCATGGTGGAAGAGGCAGACTTTTAAATGCGGTGGTGTTTCCTGTGTTTATGGGTAGAGCTACGCTCTCTCCAGGTGCTGTCCTGAAAGGCTAGGGGAGAAAACAGAGATTCTGTTTAAGGGGTGGAGCATTGGTATTATGTGAAGATAACATAATGATACACATGGGAAGAGGATTAGGAGTTCATTTCTGCCTCTGCAGGTGGGGGCAATGGTAGTATGTTTTAGATAAAGGGTTCTCCACTAAGTGATCATACAAGGAAAAGCCATTAAAAACCGCCCAAACCCACTAAAAAAAAGCCAATTAAATCTTTAAAATAATTAAATACATAATCATGACTGATGCAAGGGATATCAGACAGCCTGCAATGTGCTCACAACTACCTTTTCAAGGCAATTGCTGGCTTTACACTGGCACAAGATGTATAGAAATTTAATTTATATTCTTTTAGACAAATGAGGAATGGAGGTAACTGAAATAACGGTACCCAAGAGTTGAGCATTAACAAGTATGGACTCTAACAATTAAAATAAAGTAGTATGTGTGATAATGCTCTTTTAAAGAAAAAACGCAGAGCTGACATTTCTATCTTCTATCTAAAAAATACAAGCTCTCTGTCTGTGGCTTCAGTACTTTCTGTTCACTAACCTGGACCAGTCAGTGGTCTCATGCAGATTAAGAAGTTAGAGTGAAGCTGGCACTATAGAGCTGCACACTTGTTTGGTGCCGTAAAGTACTGCGGCCACTGAATAAGCATGACAGTCAGGCAACTTGCATTTTTAGGAGATGCCAGCAATTGCATCGGTTTGCTTTTTATACATATTTCTGCACCTGAAAAGTAAACTGAAACACTGTACCCTGTGAAAGAATGATACAAACGAAAGTACAGGATTTCACAAGTCAGAGAGGACAAAACTTTAACAATAGGTAATACTGAAATGCGTTTTACAGTGCATCCAGAAAGTATTCACAGTGCTCAACTTTTGCCACATTTTGTTATGTTACAGCCTTATTCCAAAATGGATTAAATTTATTTTTTTCCTCAACATTCTACAAACAATACCCAATAATGACAAACAATGTGAAAGAAGTTTGTTTTGAAATCTTTGCAAATTATTAAATATAAACGAAAAAAACCACATGTAGATAAGTATTCACAACCTCTGCCACGACACTCAAAATTAAGCTCTGGTGCATCCTGTTCCCACTGATCATCCTTGAGATGTTTCTACAACTTGATTGCAGTCCACCTGTGGGACATTCAGTTGATTGGACATGATTAGGAAAGGCATAAACCTGTCTATATAAGGTCCCACAGTTAACATTGCATGTCAGAGCACAAACCAAGCCATGAAGTCCAAGGAATTGTCCGTAGACCTCCAAGACAGGATTGTATCAAGGCACAGATCTGGGGAAGTGTATAGAAAAATTTCTGCAGGATTGAAGGTCCCAATGAGCACAGTGGCCTCTATCATCCGTAAATGGAAGAAGTTTGGAAGCACCAGGAATCTTCCTAGAATGGGCCGCCCAGCCAAAATGAGCGATCGAGGGAGAAGGGCCTTAGCCAGGGAGGTAACCAAGCACCTGATGGTCACTCTGAAAGAGCTCCAGTGTTTCTCTGTGGAGACAGGAGAACTTTCCAGAAGAATAACCATCTCTGCAGCACTCCACCAATCAGGCCTGTATGGTAGAGTGGCCAGACGGAAGCCACTCTTCAGTAAAAGGCAAATGGCAGACCACCTGGAGTTTGCCAAAAAGGCACCTGAGGGATTCTCAGACCATGAGAAACAAAACTCCTCTGGTCTGATGAAACAAAGATTGAACTCTCTGGCCTAAATGCCAAGCGTCATGTCTGGAGGAAACCAGGCACCGCTCACCACCTGGCCAATACAATCCCTACAGTGAAGCATGTGGTGGTGGCAGCATCATGTGGTGGGGATGTTTTTCAGTGGCAGGAACTGGGATATTAGTCAGGATCAAAGGAAAGATGAATGCAGAAATGTACAGAGACATCCTTGATAAAAAAAAAAAAAACCTGCTCCACAGCGCTTGGACCTTAGACTGTGGCGACAGTTCATCTTTCAACAGGACAACGACCCAAAGCACACAGCCCACATTACAAAGGAGTGGCTACGGGGCAACTCTGTGAATATCCTGGAATGGCCTAGCCAGAGCCCAGACTTGAACATCTCAGGAGAGATCTGAAAATGGCTGTGCACTGACGCTCCCCATGCAACCTGATAGAATTTGAGAGGTACTGCAAAGAAGAATGGGAGAAACTGCTAAAAAATAGGTGAGCCAAGCTTGTAGCATCATACTCATAATGATTTGAAGCTGTAATTGGTGCTAAAGGGGCTTCAACAAAGTATTGAGCAAAGGCTGTAAATACTTATTGTTTTTTATTTTTAATAAATTGCAAAGATTTCAAAAAGAACTTCTTTCACGTTGTCATTATCAGGCATTGTTTGTAGAATGTTGAGAGAAAAGATTAATTTAATCTAGTTTGGAATAAGGCTGTAACATAACAAAATACAGCAAAAGTTAGGTGCTGTGAATACTTTCTGGATGCACTGTATACAACAAGACAAAAGATCAAAACACATTTGTTTTTCTTTTTTTGATACACATATGAACTGCTTAAGAATTGCTAACCTTTTGCTGCTATTTCCAGGTGGTGTTTCATTCTGTGCTCTCTCTCCTCCAACTGCTGAGCTTGTTTTGCATTTTCCCAACCTGCATTGGATTTATAAGCATCCTTTAGTAATGTAACATAGCAAAAGAAGTACTAATTGCAGTCTTATTACCTTCAACAAAATACTGAGCACAACACAGATAGCAAACAAACTGCATTTGGAGGCACCAAATTTCATGGTACTGCAGTACCATGCGGTTTGGCGCAGTGAAAGTACTGCACAGTCCAGTGCGTTTTGCAGCTCCTATAAATACATGGACAGTCAAAACGCACTGCACGGAATCGTGCCCTTTCCCATGTGATCCCAATATGCACAGGGCCTTAAAGAGCAACGCTTCTCGTGCATGCACAGTGGGCATCTGGCTGTGAAGTCGCAAGCTATCACAGCCAGGTGGCTATACTAAAGATGCCGGTACCAGGGAGAGAAGACAGCCGGTGAAACCAGTGGTGGTGATGACAACGCTGGACCGAAAAACAGGTAAGTGGCTGTATTTTAAAAGTCAGCAGCTACAGTTTTTTAAGCTGCTGACTTTTATTTTTTTTGTTCAGCTGGAACTCCGCTTTAAAACAATGGCAGTCTCTGGACATATCCAATTAATTCTTTCAAGTTTATAAAGAGAGATCTTAGTTTTCTGCTTTGGGTTGTAACAATGCAGACACAGTGCTCTGCCACTGTTACTTGGGGCTGCTTTATTCCTGGGGCGAAGAGGACAAAGAGCCCCCCAATCTTTGTATTTGCTCCCCGATTGTCTGAATGACCCTATCCTGTTCCTGTCCTTACTATCATACTTGTATTTGCCACTGTATGTTTCTTCTGCTTTCCTCTGTCTGTAAAGAATATCGCTACAGTCAATGACGGCTTTGAACCAAGTGTTAAAGTAGATCTGTGTTAGAGGCTTAGTATGGGGTTAACAGTACATGCTCCATAGAAGTGTGTTACCAGAACAATGAGTGACATGGTCATGCATATGCCCTGAAACAACTGCTCGTTTTTGCCTCATGTCCTCAATCACATCTCTTATGCCCTACTATCTTACAAAGATACCTCCCGCTGCAACTTTCTCCCCTATATCCACTAAATCTTCTACTGTACTGTTGTTGCTGATCTCACATATTCCACTCTGTCTGCCCTCCAGTGTCAGCAGTAACCCATATTTAATTTGTTTCACTTTTCTATTACACATTGTACATCTCCAGCAATAGCCCACACTTGCTACCTACATCACACCTGCAACCCTGTCACTGGAGTAAATGAACACAGTGTTTATACCTGTATATAGGCCTTATTTTTCTCAACCATGAATTTATACAAGCAGTTGAGAGGTGTACTTTATGCCCACTTTAGCTACTGCTTGGCAGTTGAGGGCTGTCACTTATACTGGCCAAACACCTTACAACAGGCAGGCTAAATTCAAGGTAGGGTGTAAAAGCATGAGGGATTTTGTAAACATGTTGAATAGGATGCCCTCTTGCACATGCATCACTGAATAACACAAAAGGCCACAATAGCCATGTTTCCATCACAGTCAACTTTAAAGCCACTGCATTTCATTACATCTTTCATCACTCTTGTCCCCTAAGGTATTCAGCAACTTTCCTGAAACATGTATCTTTCACATCATTATAAAGTCGACTAGAAAGGAAACACATTGTTATGGAATCTATTATCAGCTATAATTTATTCATTATGATAATGTTCAGGACTGCAAAGACGGTTTTAAAACACAAGTAAGAACTGCCTATACTGCCCCAGTTGTAACCATTAAGACCTAAACTTTTGCTCCAGTTGTTTTCCACTGCTATGAGGACATTGAAACAAAAGGCCTTGTGTTTAACCATGTGGCTGGCTGGTTCCATCATATTTTGCACAATTGTGAGTATGTGAAAAACAGCAATCATGAGATATAAAAAATATGTTAATTCCTTTTAAATTCAAAACAAACAATGCCAAAATTACCAGATTGCAAACTCTTGAAGAAGCCCTCCTGGTTTGGTAGTACTGATCCATCATGCTTGACATGTTCTGGGATTTTCAGTTTTTTACGAACAGCTGGTATCCTCAAAAAAGCCACTTGGGCTATTGAGCAGAAGTTTGAAGTCACCCAATATGTGAACACGGCCTGAAACAAAAAGTTTAGAAAAAAAATGACCATGCCATATCAATACAGCAAAGTAAATCTTAACCCACTTGCCCTCCAAAAGATTTACCCCCCTTCATGACCAGGCCATTTTTTGCTGTTAGGCACTGCGCTATTTCAACTGGTAATTATGTGGTCTTTCAATGCTGTACCCCAATTAAATTTACGTCCTTTTTTTTACACAAATAAAGCTTTCTTTTGCTGGTAATGATCAACATTTTGGTAGGCCAAAATGTATTCTGCTACATGTCTTTGGTAAAAAAAAAAATCTCAATACATGTACATTATTTGGTTTGTGTAAAAGTTATAGCATCTAAAAACTATGGTATATTTATTAGAATTTACGTAGCTCTTACTTTCTGACTGCCCTAATTCTGCCATTTCTTGAAGTGCTAAAATGCCAGGGCAGTACAACACACCCCCCCCCCCAAATGACTGCTTTTTGGAAAGTAGACACCCCAAGGATTTTTCAGTCGAGTCCATAGAACATTTTTATTTTTTGACACAAATTTTTTGGAATATGACAATTTTTATTTATTTTTTTTACAAAAAGTTGTCACTTTAATGGTAGATTGCTCATGCATGCCATGGGTATATGTGGAATAACACCCAAAAACACATTCTTCTACTTCTCCTGAGTATGGAGATACCACATGTGAGGGACTTTTTAGCAGACTAGCTACATACAGGCCCTTGAAATCCAATGACCACCTTCAGGCTTTCAAAGGGCATATTTTCTCATATCACTTCCCCACTACCTATCAGTTTCGGAGGCTCTAAAATGCCAGTATAGAATAAACACCCCTCCAAATGACCCCTTTTTGGAAAGCAGACATCCCAAGGAATTTGATAAGAGGTATGGTGAGTGTTTTACAGATATCATTTTTGTCACAGGGTTTTGAAAAAGAAAAAAATACATTTTTGTTTTCGTTTTCCAAAAACATGTGGCAACAAATGCGACCTGCAAAATACTCACCATGCCTCTTGGCAAATACCTTGGAGTGTCTACATTCCAAAAAGGGGTAATTTGGAGGGGTTGCTTTCTACTATCCTGCCATTTTAGGGCCATCATTAGAAGCTTATGCACCACACATCACCCACTCTTGAAGACCAAGCCTTTTCTGACACTTTTTGTTCACATGAAAAAAAAACAGTTTTTTTGCTAGAAAATTACTTTGAACCTCCAAACATTATATATATTTTAGAGGCCATAGAAAATAAAACGGTGAGTGTTGAAATTTTTTACGTCACACATTATTTGCACAACAATTTTTCAAATGCAAATCTTTTGGGAAAAATACACTTTTTAGAATTTTAATACACAAAAACACAATATATTGCCCAATTGTTTGATATATTATAAAAGATGATGTTACGTCAAGTAAATAGATACCAAACATGACATGCTTTAAAATAGTGATGCAATGCCAACAACGTACATACATTTTTATTATTGATAAGCGATGCTTTAAAAGTCTTTACAGGTCACCAATTTATATATACAGAGGATGTCTAGTGCTAACATTACTGCCCTCGATCTGACGTTCATGGTGATACCTCACATGCATGGTGCAACTGCTGATTACATACCGCCACGGTGTCAACGCTTTTTGATTTTTTAAAATTATTTTTACACTGTCACCTTTTTTTTTTTAATCATTTTTATTGCTATCACAGGGAATGTAACTATACCCTCTGACTGCAACAGGCATTGACAGGTATTCTTTTTTGAGAAATCTGGGGTCTATTAGGCTCTAGATATCTCCTCTGCCCTTACATTATCTGATCTCACCAAGATCGGTGTAATCAGATGCTTTCCCAGTTTACAAATGGCACTGTTTATATCCTGCGAAACTGAAGTGATGAAATGCTCGTAGCTTCCGATTTCTTAGACTATAGAGATGACTGAAGTCATTCTGGTCTCTGATCAGCTCTATAGTCAGCCAGCGGAACTTTCAACTGCATTCTTGGATTCTTCTGTGGGACAGGAGAGCCCAAGAAAACTGTGGAAGACAGCAGGAGGGGAGGGGATGTCCCTTCCCGCTGCTCCTAAAAACAATTTAGCAGCTAATTGACCACTAGGATTGCTTTTAAATGAAATCTGATCGCCAGCTGAAAAAAACAATACCAGGGTGATACCTGTAGCTGCAGCGCCTCCTTGTGTTAGTACAGCCAGAGCAACATACCGGTACGTCGCTTTGCCTGTAGCTGCCGCCCAGCCGCAGTGCATTGCGGTCGGGAAGCGGTTAAAGTTGTTGTAAACCCTTACATATACCCAGTGAAGTGACTGGCCTCAGGTGATACACAGAGATGAAAAATTGTCCTACATCAGTTGTAACTGTTTACCTGTCTACATCTGTTCAAAGTGCTGAATTTATAAAACTTGTCTGAGAGTTAAAAAAAAAAAAAAAAAAAAAAAAAAAAAAAAAAAAAGGGGCAGAGAGCTGAAGTTACACTCACAGAGCTCAGAGGAGAGCACTTATCTGTCCTGTAATGGAGCAGGGGTCAATAATTAAAAAAAAAAAAAGAAAAAATTAAGTTGAAGAGAATGACCAGAAATAAGCTGTATGGATACAGTGTCAGAATTTATAAACTTAAGGAAGCTCATAGCACAAACATTGTTGTCTCCGACCCCCCCCCCCCCCCCAGGATATTGAGCGGTAGATCGCCCTCTGGTTTGGTATTACATCCAATTTCCTTTTAATCGAGAAGTCCCCTTGTTAGAAATGCTCACATTATCAAGAACAAGCTACCCGTGTTCCCTCCTACTTTGGCTGAGGTATTTTCACTATGTAATAACGTCATCTAACGGCTGATATTGTCTCCAACTTCAAATGGGTCTGCGTTACGTGTATCAGCATAGAGACAGCAAGTTAAGTGGGGTTTTTTTTTCTTGTTTGTCTATAAGGTTCAACGCTATTAATAACACTATGTGACATAATTGCACAGGTAAACAAATAGTCAGCATATTATATACTCTGATATTACAGCCCTTGTATACGTTTTATCTGTAGACGTGGTTTTGGCTGTCATTCTTGTTTGTTCCTTTTCTGTGATTTTTCTATTTGTTTTTGATTGTTTTTACTTTTGTACGTGTTTTTGTACAAGAACTGTTAATTTGAAAATGGAAATGTGTTGGTTTTCAAATAACAATTATCTGAACTTGCCATTGCAAAGATTTAAAGTGTTACTAATCCCAAGACCCTGCATTCTTTATATTCAGTCTCCCACAGTACACAGAATATGGGGATGCAATTATTTTAGTAAATATAAACTGCTAAATGCCTTTTCTCATCAGCAGTGTATAGCAGTCCTGTGACTTCTATCAGTATCAAGCAGAGTACTGGGTAATCTTGTATTAAGAGTTTTCATTCTGCTCTGTCATATGAGACTGCATAACCCCTGACCCTCTGTCTAGATGGTGTTGATTGGCCCGGTGCTGATCACATGCACCCTCCCAAAAACAAAACAAAAAAACTCTCTAGCAGTACACACTAAATTGAGCATATGCAGAGTGCCTTCTAGGGCTCTGTACTATCAGCAGAAGGATTGGGAACTGTGGAAGAAGGGGAGGATCAGAGAAGACAGGATCAAACTGCCTTTTTGCACAATGAGGACAATTAACTCCTTAGGTTTCACAGTGTGTATAACAAGCATGCTTAACTGCAAATGGAGACTGATTTTACTGTTGTGGGTTTAGCAAGACTTTAAAAGCCAAAAATAAAATAGGTCATTCTGGAATAACACTATCCATGAGGCTGCCAAAAGTCGACACCAACTTGATGACAAATAATAATAATACCAAATAATAAATTGATATGAATGATAAATTTAAAGCAACACTTACTGTAGGGAAATTAATGGTCAGAGGCAAAACTATCAGCGGCATTATACGGAAAACAGTCTTCATGATCCTGAGGTTGGGATTATTTACACCAGTCTCTGCTCCCAGCTAGAAAAAAAAAAAAAAAAAAAAAAAAAAAAACATTCATGAGGCCTAGATAGCATGCATGCAAAATATGCAGACCTATAGATTATAGCAAAGAACACTGGAGACTAGGAATGCAGAGAGGGCAAAAAACAGAGCAGTTACCTCTAGAACAGCCCACATGCTGCATGTCACAACCAGTGGCAGTACATAGTAAGGGTCAGCGATAGACAAGTCTGTAAACCACCAAAGGCCACCAGTTTGCATGCTGGGCACTGGAAGGTAAGCCATCTGTCTCAGTGCCACAAAGAATGAGATAAACACTGGAGCCTAGGAAAGACAGAAAAAAAAATAACTTAAATCTAATGGTTTATGAAAATGTTAACCTGTAGTAATCAGAAAGAATGACATTGTAATACTTACAGAGATGAACAACCAATTAAAGCTTGCTTTATATTGTAAGCTTTACTGTGAAAGTGCCTAATGAGATTTCCACATATTCTTAAGCATGGTCTATAGAATATTTGCCTTAAAGTAAAAAAGAAACCCATTCTGAATAGAGAAAGTGATGGTTAAAATCCATCTGATTATTTTTTTGCTCTTTGTGTCCTGGTGTGGAGATTTCCCTTCACTTCCTGTTCCATAAATACATTTTTATATATATATATATATATATATATATATATATATATATATATATATAAAAACTCCAAACATTCATAAACGCACAGTGGTGGGCTCTCCAAAGAGCATTGAGTTGTGACCACTTGCAGAGTCTGAAGCCAGCAAAGTCACACAGAAGGTAATACATTGAGTGAAAGTGGTTTGAAAAAGCCAGACTAGACTGTAATGTGGCCTGTCAAAGTTACCACTGGCTCTCATGCAATGGAAGGAGCTCTCTGCTGCTCACTGTTTTATGGAGCAATGAGACTACACACCACAGGCAAATTTTTATGAATGGGCTGTAAAATACAGGCCAGTGTGCGAAACCTGATGGAGTATAATGAAGAGCAGATTGCCCCTTTGTTTTGTGTAGTACTAGGGTAGAAGGTGCAAGCACTGTAGAACAAGTGCAAGAAATGGTAGGAATTGCCACAACTCCCTTAGAAGGCACTAATGACAGCTCATACCCTCCCCCACAATCATCTCCCGCTCTCGCTCTCTCTGCTTTCGCTGATCAGGTACTGTTTCCCTCTGTTCTCCACTCTGACAATCAGTTTTCACTCTGCTTCCTTTATGAAAACCCCCATTTACCCACAGCCATTTACCACACCATCTCCTCTATTCAACTCCCCCACCCCAAAACTCATGTTTATGCGCCATATCCTCATGATCCATGACCAGCTTCTGCTCTGCTTCTCCCTGTAGTTTATATTCTGCTCTCTTCTTACCTTCCAGCTCAATTTACACTTTGTGTCCTCCCCCATTATACATTTTAGTGAGATGGTGCACTTTTCTACATACTGTATGTGTCTAGTAAAATAATGTTCTAATGGGCAGTAAAGAATACCACTGTGATATTGATCACTCCTGACCAAAGAAAAAAATATCTAAATAACCTCTTCATAAATGGGCATACATTTGCTACTAATGCTAAAGCTGAACTCCAGGCAAGCAGCTAAATGAACAATTGATATACATATATGTTAGCTGAAATAGCTGCCTAAAGATTTAAAATTCTGTTTGGTTAAACTGGCCATAGATGGTTCAAATCTTGGCTGGTTGAGCAAGGACCGGCCCAGATTCGAACCATCTATGGGCAGGCTGATTGCACCCAAGTTGATAGTTGTATGACTTAGGTACATTCAGCATGTCGGCAAGTACATGTGATTATTGCTAGCAGCTATTATAGCAGCTAACGGTAATCGTGTTTTCCCGGCAGGGACAGCTCCCCCCCCCCCCCCCAACCGGGAGAACACCATGGTTCCGTGGGAAGGATACCCCTATGAACACTGACTGTGTTGATGAGGGAATCAAGCAAGCTTTTTCCTGCAACCCGTGGTTCCTTGTCAGCAGCATAGCCAGGCTCCAAATCTCCACTACAGTAGCACAGTTTGGTCAAGAACATTCCTCTAGCCTACTGAATAGGTATTGAAGAAGCTTCTGTAGACTGAAAAATCTTCATCTTTTTGGTCAACGTATTGCTTTTTAGGACAGTTACTCACCAATTAGCGAAGAATAGATATCATCATAAAATGGGTCATTTACATTATATTAGTCGCTGTCCAGTGTGCGTTTCAAGCCCCTATATGTATCCCTCTGGAGAGCCTGTGTAAATTCTGGTGTGTTCCCCGGTAACTGGATTTTCAATTCACATGTGTCCAGTAATTGCATAGAAAGAATAGAAGAGTGTGGACACCAGACGAACGTCGCTTTTGCCTTAGGGACTGATGGCAGGGGTAGCCATAAGTTACAGGCCTGACTTCACACCTGACCAAAATGGGATGGGAAAACACTAAGAAGTGGGGTCAGGGAGAAGCATGCCATAAAGGTGGTTAAAAAAATATATCCGAATACTAATTTTAATATTAAGGTCCTGCTAATGTCAGTGCTATATTGGGCAGCATACAGTGGTGTATTTAGGTTTTGTGCTGCCCTAGGCAACACAAAATTCGTCTCCCCCCCACCACCACCAAAGAGAGACCCTGACACCAACCAACACCCCCCTCCCCCATGAAGTTGAAGAGAGCCTGACATTGACCAACAACACCCTAGACTTCCCCCCCCCCCCCCACCTAAGTGAGCCTTCCACTGCTACCGCCCCCCATACACTGGCAACCCCACCCCCACCCTGGCAAGAGATAGACACTCACCTTCACAGCTCCGGACATCCTCAGGAACAAGAGTCAGGCTCTGCATACACCATCAAGAAGCCCGCAACCTCTCTCAGACCCCACTTGGTCCCCATGCTGCGTGTGTTTCTTTTTTCCATTCCTTCTTTTGGGGGGCAGCACTGCCCCCTGAAAAATGCTGCTGCCCCCCCTGAAAATTGCCGCCCTAGGCAAATGCCTTGTTTGCCTTGTGGTAAATACGCCCCTGGCAGCATACCTCTTTTGAAAGACTTGAACCAGAGAAAAGTCCCATATCCCACAACTGACATGCATTGGAAAAAAACATTTGGTCTCTAAATTGTGCCGTTTTTGGTACTGGGGCTTTAGGTTAAAGCAAACAATTACACCAAAATAGCTGAAAAACTGCACTGCACTACAGTTAGCAAAAGGTTACCATACAGTCCTCGCACCTGCACAAGGGGCACCAGAAAGCCACGGAGCGGATTGATGTCATGTTTCTTCTGATATAATGTAAGGTCTGAATATGCCTTGGACACTATGTGGCAGAAGAAAAAAAAAGTTACATTAGGCCTCAAAGTAGATCTAAACCCTAACTGGATGACATTTAGTTTTCTAAAGCACTGTGTATCAAACTGTTTTGTTTTTTTTTAATATTATAGATTCTTTTCAAGTTTTTTTCGCATCTCAGTGCAGCGGAGCTCCTCCCACCACTTCCTGTTCACATATACTTAATATTACCATGACTGCATGCCATCCTGTTAGTGACAACCAAGGACTATTCCTGCACAATGATACAGTTTCTTAAAGTCTAGAACAAGGGTGCATCAGAGGATGACAAAAAACAGGAGCTCCATTGGGAGACAGTTGTCACTCCATAACCGTGTCATCAAAAAGGACCTTCATAGATCTTCAGGAATTCTTTCAGGAAATTGGATATTTGTCAACATCGAAAAAAAAAAATGAAAATACATTAACATATTAAATTGGTTATAAAGGCTTAAGGTTTTTTACCTTCTTACATTTTATGCATGAAGGTAAAAAAACATTCCCCCCCCCAATGCTCACCTAACACCTAAGAACCCTCTTGATCCAGCGATGTGCACTGGAGTCTCGGCTATCCGGGGACTCATTCTCCCCATTGGCTGAGACAGCAGTGGGAGTCATTGGCTTCCACTGCTGTCAATCACAGCCAGTGAGCCAATGAGAGAGAGGGGGTGGGGCCAAGCCACATCTCTGTGTGAATGGACACATAGATCAGTGGGTGCCCCCATAGCAAGCTGCTTGCTGGGGGGGCAACCGACAGGAGGAAGGGAGCCTATGGGGGACACAAGAAGAGGAGGATCTGGGCTCCTCTGTGCAAAACCACTGCACATAGCACGTAAATATAGATATGTTTGTTATTTTTAGAAAAAAAAAAAATGTAAGCCTTTAGTAAAGCTTTAAAGCTGTTGTGAGATTTTAGTTATTGGGTTTATCCCTTAGCCATTTTGGTGTTTCCTACACATGTTTAAAAAATAATTTTAGGCCTGAAGATTAGTTAAAATCTCATACATTATATATTTTCTGAAAGCAGACATCTTGGAGAATAAAATAGCAGTAGTTTCAATGTATTAAGTCACATGATATTTGCACAACGGTTTATCAAGCACAAAACCTCAGTAAAAATTAAAGGAGTACAATCCAAGCTCTTTTGGCTGTACTTCTATGGATCACAAATGCAGGTTGTTCTGTGACCCACTTTCAGCCAACAGCGGGCTAAAGTCTACTCTCGGCTGATGTCACTCAGCTGGTCCAGGCTGGCAAAAGATCCTGACTTTACATTTAGGATCAACCCAAATGTGTGGACCGGCACCTGGCTCAGCCTCTTAGCACTCCGCAGACAGCCAGAGCCAGCAGCTTCCTACCCCTCCACAGCCCAGCGCTCAGAGCGGCAGGGAGAACCGAGCAATCAGTTCTCAGCCATAGAGCCAGCGGGGAACACATGCAGCATGGCACTGATGCTGCATCCACCTAGGTAAGTAGGATTAAAAAAAAAAAAAAAAAAAAAAACCAAAAAACATACTACTATATTAACTGGTTGCCGACCAGCCACAGTACATACACTGTGGCAGGGCAGCACCGCTACGCAAAATCACGTTCATAAACGTCATTTTGCAAAACAGGTAGGGGGCGCGCGACCACCCTACCCACGCCACCGGTCGCGGCCACGGGTTTCAATCACCGGGTCCCGGCTGGTCATTACCCGCCGGATCCCGGTGTGCGATAAAGAGCACAGCTGCATTGTTTTCAATGCAGCTCTGCTCCCTGTCAGTTCCCAGCACACTGTCACGGAGAGCAGAGATTAGCTTTCCGGGACAGTGTGTAACAGTTAAGTACACACCCCCTGCCCACTAGTAAAGCACTCCCCTCACACGATTAACTCTTTGATTACCTAAAAAAGTTAACCCCTTCCTCCCCAGTGCCATTAGTACAGTGTTTTTTTTGCACTGATCACTGTATTGGTGTCACTGGGGATGTCAGTAACCCCAAGTCAAATCCCCCCAGTGTCAGAATGTCCGCCGCAGTCCCGCCATAAGTCGCTGATCGCCACCATTATTAGTATAAAAAAAAAAAAAAAACAATCCAGTATCTATACCGCCATTTGTAAACGCTGGAACTTTCACGTAAACCAAATTAATTTACATGTATTGGGATTTTTTTTTTTTTTTAGCAAAGACATGTTGCAGAATACATGTTGGCTGAAATTTATGACAAAATTTAGATTTTTTAATTTTTTTACTGGACAAGTCCAAAATATTTTTTTTTTCTAAAAAGAGTTTTGCTTTTTGTTATAGCGCGAAAAAAAAAAAAAAAAAAAAAAAACAAAAAACACACAGGCGATTAAATACCACCGAAAGAAAGCTCAATTTGTGGGGAAAAAAAGATGTAAATTTCATTTTGGTACAGCGTTGAATGACCGCGCAATTGTCAGTTAAAGTAGCGCAATGCCATAACACAAGCCGCTTATGTAACCGCTTCCTGACCACCCTATAACAGAAATACTGCTACAGGGCGGCACAGGTGCGCAAAATCACATATATATAGGTGAATGGCGCTCCCGTGGTTTTCACTCCCCTCCCAGAGGGCGTCAGATTGCTCGTCAATACATCAGTCATCACATTTAACCCCTTGATTACCAGGAAGACGCTCATACACAATAAACCTCCATTGCTAGTATAGTGTCTGAACGGATCAATATCTTTGATCAGATCAGCACTATACCAGCGCTCACATTAGTATAGCGTCTCCAAAAACGCAGCATTAGCGGGATCAGCCCTAGCACCTGCCAGCACTTGCGTTTAGCCCCTACGCTTATTTCCCCCCCTTCTCCCCCAGCAAGTGCAGTGTCAGTAGGTCACTGTCACTTGATACATTGCACACAAAACTGCAGTGTTGGCAGAATCAGGCCTGATCTCTGTTAGCACTTGCTGCAAATTGTGCTGACTCCCATATGCAGCAGAGTGCCAGTACTAGTGCCATGCTACCTTTTGGTGAACTGGTGACACCAGCGATCTAGTACATCCTGGTCTTTCACATACCTCTTAGATTGTAATCTCCCAGTATATGGCCCTCCTAACGCTCTTGTATTGAACTGTATTGTTGCTGTATTGTCTCCGTTATATTGTAAAGTGCTGCGCAAACTGTTGGCGCCATATAAATCCTGTATAATATAATAATAATAATACCAGCACTGCAGTATGACCTGGGACGTGGCGAGTCCCATAAGTGTAGTACAAGCTGGTGCGGTGGCGAGCAGAAGTATTGTTCGGATTTACGAGGAAAAAAATAGTCAGGTGGAGCCCCCCAGATGCCCAGACTACATGGGGAGTAGTGGCAAAATAGTTTGGGACTTGGTGTCATCCTTCTCCATATAGGGTACCACTTATAAGAGGTCAATTTTTATTCAAGCGTGCCACTATTTACACATTTGTTCAATCTTGGAACTGGCGCATGTGGCAAAGTGTGTCCTAATGTGTGCCCACCATATGAAGTGGGTGGATGCAGGTGGTATATTCCAATGGTGGGCATACCACACACTTTTTCTGGCACAGATTTCCTCTCTTTTTTTCATTCGGTCCACAGGCTGCATACAAAAAAAAAAAAAAAAAAAAAAAAAAAAAAAAAAAATAGCATATACAGTAATACCTCGGTTTACGAATGCCTCTGTTAATGTAAATTTTGGTTTACGAATGAAAATCCATTGAAAATAATGCCTCGGTTTACAAATTTTTTTCACAATAGTGTATGTCAGTGCTGATTTTTAAATGCAATTGCTATCTTTTTTTTTTCTTCAGTATAGCTCACAACATTAGCTATCAGTTTCCCAGAGCTAAAAGATACTTTGTATATTTTAAGAAACTGAAAGGATACATTGTATCTTTTAACTTTGTGAAATAACTAAAAGAAACTCTCTCTCTTTCAGCTGGAGGGGGAAAGTAACTGCTGAATTTCTGAACTACTGTATAGTAAAGGAAAAAAAAAAAAAAAAAACGGTAATTACATTTAAAAACTGGCACCTGACAGCTGAGTGAATTACCTGCAATAAAATTTTTTTTTTTTTGTAATTACCAGCAGGAACCCCACTGACAGCTGAAATATTAACACATGGTTGTCACTACTAAAATACTACATGAGTTAATAAAATAACTCATGCCGTATTTTAGTAGCGTTTACGGTTTTTTCTGACCTTCTGAACGGATTAATTGCTTTTCAATGCATTCCTATGGGAAAGTGTTTCGGTTTACAAATTTTTCGCTATATGAAATGTCCTGCAGAACGAATTAAATTCGTAAACCGAAATACTGGTACATCACTGGAATTTAAATTGTTATACCAGGATGATGCCTACAGCTGCAGGCATCACTCCGGTATCATTTTTTTTCAGCTGGCAATTGGCTTTCATGTAAAAGCAATCCTAGTGGCTAATTAGCTGCAGGATTGCTTTTACAAGCAGCGGAATATGATGCCCCCCTCCCCTACTGCCTTCCACGGCCTTCTTGGGCAGTCCCGTGCTATCAGGGCAACCTGAGAATGTAGCCAGTGTTTCTGTCATGTGACCATAGAGACCAGAGTGTATAATCTGATCATAGAGACCAGATAATATAATCATCTCTATAGTCTAAGAAATTGCAAGCTACAAGCATTTCATCACTTCAGTTTCACAGGATATAAACAGCGCCATTTGTAAATTGGGAAAGCATCTGATCACACCGATCTTGGTTTGATTAGATAATGTAAGGGCAGAGGAGATATCTAGAGTCTGAAAGACCCCAGAGTTCTCAAAAAAGAATATATGACAATGTCCATTGAAGTTATAGGGGATATTTGCATTCCCTGTGATAGCATTAAAAGTGATCAAAAATAAAAAAAATCAAAATAACCAAAAAAAAAAAAAAAAAAAAAAAAAAAAAAAAAAGCACCCTCGCCCCCCTGCGCACATCTGCATTCGTGAGCTTTGACTCTGTGCCAGTATGGAAACAGCGGTTGCACCATGCA